CTTTATTTGTTTCAAATTCAAAATAAATTACATTTCATTTTAACCTAGGTGCTCCAGTTACTACAGTAACTTACCAGCCATAATTTTTATGATATATCTAAGTATTTTTACATTGTTCCTGTCTTGGCGATTCAGTATTTTAAATAGGTTTTTTTAACCTGCATGTCAGTATAACAATTGATATCTAAAAACTAAAACTAAATCTTATCTAAGTATAAAGAGAATTAATCGTTGCAATTGAGGATTGCAATTTCAAAAACTTTGATTTCAAATGAAGAAAGAATTTTATGTTTGATTCGTCTATGAACAATGATACCAACGCCACCACAGTGTCCATCAAGACGATCATTTCTATAAATTAAATAATTTGAGTCCTTCTTAACCTTATGGTCAGGTTTAAGGAACGTTTCAGTTATAACGGCAATATGCGCGTTATGAACTCTCAAAAAGTTAAATAGCTCGTCTTCATCATCTTTAAGATATCGAGCATTCCAATTTACAATATTTAATGCTTTAAAATTCATTACTGAATTTTAAAGTCATGACAATATTGTTTGCAAAATCATGTCAATTAATGATTTCTGTAAAAATTCCATTTTAGGGGCAGTAATGCTTCCTAAGTCAAAATTGTCAAAATTTGCGTTAGAATTACGTTGGTTAGTATTTTGATTTCTACCCGGTGCAATAGCAGCATAGCCCAAGCAACAATTTTTGTTTTATTTAAGTTTTATAGCAGTTGATATAACCAAATTATAAAACCTTCACTGACGACCACATTGCTTTAACAATCTCCTGAGAACCGCAATACAGCCATGTCATGGCCAATTGGCCCAGTTTTAATGCAGTCTTTAAAACTTGATATGCGAACTACTTTAGGAGCATAGGATTTATGTCAGTTTTATCACACTCTAGACGTGATTGTTAAAAATGAAAACATAAAACTTCCTCCAGGTCAGAAAGTTTTAACAGCCTTCTAATGACTACCATAAAACTATATTACAACCGCATAAATCGCTCCTGAAGAAGTTGATAAAACATGATACGCAAAACATTTTGACAACTTTGAAGGTTTTAAGTTGGGGTTTTTGGATGATAGTTAATATTGAAAAATATTTTATTGTGGTTTTATTCTTTCGATGTTTGATGTGAAATCATGATCCTTGTCAGTTGGTAATAATGGCTGATATTATTGTACATTGAAAATAAGACGACTTTATTACAATTTTAAACCAATCTGTATATGCTTCACAGCATGCCGTGCAATATTTATGGTGATTATTATACCAAATAGGAGCATAAATTTAGTGCGCCATATGAATACTAAAATATAGGATATTTTTAATTTGTCTGCATTAGCACCATGCATTAAAGAGTCATTCAAAGATTATCTATTTAGTACAAAACTGTTACTACTGTTGAGCAATAACCAGTCACATATTATTTAATTATACATAGACGTATGAAAGTGTTTTATTGCCTATCAATTAAAGCGTAATTATTCATACTGTGTGAAATTTGTTCATACGGCGACATTTTTTTTCGTTATAACTTGCTACTCCTTAAAAATACCTCAATATAACATATTCTCCTAGATTGGAATTCTATAGCATAACATAAACCTAATGGTTGTATCTTAGCATTTCGTAGTCCAAATTGAGAGCGTTAAGTTATATTTAAGCTATATAACTAGCTTGCTGGTTTTATTCGGTACAGCGAATCAAAACAAAACAAAAACCATGACCACCTGTCAAAAAGTCAACATTCCAAGCGATCCTCCTATTTTCGCTTGTAATCAAGATGTTAGAAATGCTTATTGGATCCACTAAAAGCTTTTTCAATACAAGGTTTAAAGCCGTGATGTCAATACTGGCCATCTCCAAACGGATTTAGTGAAACTGTCGGCGTTGCTTTAAGAAGGGTTCGTGGATCTTTCGGAAGTGTATCGGAAAGCCGCTTGTTCAATATTTTTAACAGCTCCTTCACCGCACTGTGCCTTATGTAGGGATCGTATAACTGTAGTTCCTCCATATTGTTTCATATTGTCGATCGTCTCATCTTCATTGTGTTCAGAAGCACTGAAGGGGTTTTCATTTCACGTATCTGAATAGATTTGTTTTTTATAATGACAAAAAAATTCAGAGTATTTTTTGTTGTAGCAGTATATTTCTTATCTGTGAATCTTAGGCCTCTGATAAAGATGATAGTTGTAATGAAGCTTTAATGAAGGTCTAAGACTGCTTCAAGTTTTATATCGGTCATAAAAAGTGTACCATAAAACATAATTGTATGTTTTTTTTTGGTTTTATTCTTCAGTTATAAGTAGTGATGCAGAACAACCTTACAGCTACCGTTAAAACTATGAAGTCTGTGTTTTAATTCAGTAGTCATAAAACAGTTTTATAGACCGTTATACAACCACAGGCTGGAAGGGATGCTATGATAAAACAATGATAAAATAAGAATAAATCTTCCAAGCATCTAGATTGTTACTTGGGAGGTAGCTCCATTAACTCGCTGAACATTGTTAGCAGCGAGAGGAGTAGTACAGATGAAAAATTTGAAGCAGGGGTGATATTTGTACCAACGGGTACGAATATAGAATTTGTTCCTCGCTGACCGTTGTTAACGGCAGAGGAATTTGTACCTGGTCGAAACGTGGAGCGTTACCTACCTGTCAGTTAGAACGAGATTGTAGGATCCCTTTGCGAGTCTTACATTCCCAAAAATTGGATTTGTGGTTTTCACCACAATTTGAACATTTGAATTTCTTAGGATCTTCCTTCACAGGACAGTCGTCCTTTGCGTGAGAGGAATCACCACAATTCATGCATTTAGCTGGCATGTAGCAATTTTTAGTTCCGTGGCCCCAACCCTGGCACTTACGGCACTGAGTGAGGTTTTGGACATTTCCTCCAGTCTTCCTGAAGTGTTCCCACTTCACTTGGACAAGGAGCATAAGACTAACTTTTTCTAAGGCCTTAAGGTTGTTTAGTTCACTAGACTTGAAGTGAACTAAATAAAAATCATTAGAAATCCCGTTGCGCGAATCGCCAGGACGGGATTTCATTTTCATTTTGATTACTTGGAGTGGCACAACTCCAAGTAATTTTGCCGGTTCATCTTTGATCTGATCCAGGGATTCACCACTGGGCAGTCCTTTCATGACAACCTTGAACACACGTTCAGTTTTGGTGTCGTAAGTAAAAAATTTGTGCTTCTTCTCAGTAAGATGCTTGAGAAGACATTTAAATCCGTCCAAGGTTTCAGCCAATACACGGCATTCACCCGGACGTCCAATTTGTAGTGAAAACTTAACTTTCACGAAGTTCAAAAGTTCCATGCGAAGATCATGGAAATCGGAAGTGGTTATCACAATAGGGGAATCTTTTCCTTCTTGGCATTAAGCCGGGAAAGTTTACTAGAATTTTTCTTGGATGATGGATCATTCTCATCATCCGTGAGCAAATCAAATTGATTACTCAAATTAATTTCATCAGAAGGGGGGTCAAGAGTTTGCCCCTTTCTTTTGCGTTTAGGGGCCATGGCGGCAGTAAATTTTTATCCAAATCGACTTCCAAGCAGATTACTATAAGAATCTGAAGGATCGAAGAGGAATTTTCCAAATCGATATCCAAGAAGGACTACCTCGGGTAGGGTCCAAACAAGGATCGAAGAGGAATAAGAGTTGAACAAGGTAGAACAATTTTTACAGGTTGAGCACTAAAAAGTGCTGTTTAAATTTGTTGTAGCTTTAGGTAGTAGTAACACTTCCTTAAGCAAAAAGCAAATAGATCCGCACGGCAAGAGAGCACGATGCGGACTGTTTTCGTACATCGTTAATCTATCGAATGATAGAGCATCGTAAATGTGAAAGAGTCGGGACCCGGGGCACTGCTCCTAAATAATATTCCAAAAGGACTTCATGGCAATTCCGATGAGAATTTCAAGGGAATTCGTAGAAAAATTTCAATAAATTTCAAAGGTTTTCAAAGGAGAAATCTGATGGAATTCTGAAGAACATATCTTACATTTTACATCATGGAGCAATTGCTTGTTCCCGTACTGTCTGCACCATATTTATTTCTTACAGCAGCCTATAGAAAGCTGCAGCAACTTACAGTAAATCAAAAAAGCATGTACAGGAACAGAAATCAAAGGAAACCGAATCCGCAGGGATCATACTGCCATGTAACATTTACCTTACCAGTTTGGTTTGGTACCTTAATTTAATTTCCAGCAGGCATGCTACGATGTGCGGTTTAGGTAGCATGCTAAAAAGTCTCGACTATCCGTTTCCTTGATCCCTTTTAATCAATGTTGATGGATTATGGAAGGAAAAGGATACTCAAGACTCTTTAGCATGCTACCTTAAACCACACATCGTAGCATGCCTCTACCTGCTGGAAACGAATTTTAGGTACCAACCAAACTGGTTAGGTAAATGTGACATGGCAGAAAATTAAAAGATTACAGATTTGATTTTTAATCACATTTTGGAAATAACATGCATGGAAACAAGCAAATTGTGTTGTCATCATGTTGATGCAGACTCATCCTTAATTAGAGTTATCTCTGCATCAATTGTAATGCTTCAACTAAATTGAATCTTAGTTACACGTATAAATAGCAGACTTGTAAGCTCCCCATGAACCAAAATGCAGCAGACATGGAGGCAACGAGTGTGCTGCTTTTCCCGTTTACTATTTATTTGTACCTTACCTGTACCTTGTGTAGATTGTTTGCGAAATGTAGTTTACCAAGTACGTAGAGGTCACACCGACAAAGTTATAACTAAATTTATGTGGCTGAACTACTCCTCTAAAAGAGCACTCACTACTCAGAAACAATATCGTTTGCAACTAGTTCATTACCACTTTCATCCTTCCTGTATGTGGTTCTTCGGCAAGCATTGATTCATAACTTCCCCCCTCGATAGCAAACTTTCCATCCCTTAATTTATAGGAAAATATTTCGATTAAATATTTGCCGTTCGCACTTACCGATAGTAGTTGAGCACCTGCGCAAACACCCCCGGATGCCGATCGAAGAAGTACTCGTTCAGCACGGGATCGTAGTTTCCGAGGGCCTCCGTCAGGCGAGACAGCCGAGTGGCGGGAATTTTCTTCAACGTCGCTTTGTACGTTTCGTGCCGGATGCCGCCTACGTTGAGAACCACCCGGTTCTCGGAGTCCATGTTCATAAGATTCATTTTTTCGTGCAGAAGCAGAAGATTTCAAACTCGACTGACGTCTTCTGTGCGAGTAGTTGTGCTTTCTTGCTTGGTGCGATGGTTGTTGGTTGTCTAGTGGTTTTTTTTTACGATCGTTGCTGTCGAGAGTGCTTTCGTGATTTCGTTACATGTACCGACAGTCTTACAGGAATGAGGATGGCTATTCTGTGCCTCGAGAGCTGCTCGAGATTTCGACACGTGTTCACAAGTTTCCTCTCGCTTCCGAATGATGGCAGTCGTCCTTTTATTTTTATATGGCCTTACCGAGCCTTACAGGCCCCTTGGGAGAGCCTTTCTTGATTAGGTTTTTATGATTTCTCCGTTCACGACGTTTTTTTTTTCGTCACACACAGTTAATCACAATGTTCGTTGGTGCACGGAGGAATTCCGTCCGCAAGGATCCCCCGGAGATCCCTTGGCCTAGAAAAGTGCCCAGGGAGTGAAAGTTATTTTTCATCAACCAAATCTCTCCACCGGGTGATTAATCATCCTGGGAGGTCAGGTTGATTTGCTGCTGCTGCTGTTGTTTATTCGTTTTTCTCGTTGGAAAAGGAAACTCCCTCACCAGCTGGCCGTGGTGTGATTAATTCGATTTGTCCTCCTGTATCTGGCGGCGCGGGTGGACATCACCGGAACTCACGCCGCAGCATCCACCGCGAGCCATCTACCGCTACTACTACTAGCACTACTTCGCCTACAGGGTCACACCGTCCGCTCACCAGCGGCCACCGGTTTACGTCTTCTGGGAACGAGGGCGAGGGCATTGGCTGACGACGACGGCGATGAAGGGGAAACAGAACTGACATCTTTCCGTGATGGCGACCTGATTAGCATTCTGGAAGCGATGGACGATCCGGTGGACGTTGGAGTCGGTTGTTGTGCTGCTGGCTCTCGTTCTAGTTCGGTACTGCCTCGAACTGCCACGAATCGGAAGCATGATCTGTAATTTGAAAAAGGGGAGAAAACGTGCAGTGGGATTAGAACTATGCAGTCATAGTCATCATGAAGTCAAACGAACAAATGGAAATGGTGCACATTAACAGGAATTGACATTAATTATGTATTTGATCAAACATCACCCAGACTGTCGGATCCATTTCAGAGCAGCGATAGTGTTCGTAATTTGATTGCATCTAATCAAATCGCATACGATTAATTAGATTGCTGCGCTGAGTGATTTCTGTTACCTGAAGCTATTTGTGGAAGGATTTTGTCGGGACTTGGGACAGGTGACGGGATTGGATGTGGGTTAATCAGGATGCAAGCTTTCTGAGTAAAGCTCATGCAACTGCTTTGTTTGTTTTCTGTCCTGTATGACCGTTGTGACGGAGTAAAATCGTATTGCTATCCCTTTTCCACTCACTGAAATGTTACTCAGTGGCTTAGAGTTCTGTGTAAGTCCAATAGGGTTTGCTAAAATGCGACTATTTCAATAATTTGTTTTCTTTAGGAAAATATTTCACATTAATAAAAATGTTCCTGGTGAAAACATTTTGTCTTTATGTACAGCCAAGAACAGTGCACACTGAGCCAGAAATGCAATCTAGCGGAGCAAAATTAATAACTTCGAAACGAAGCATTTCGGCGACTTGGTGTCTCCGGTAAAGTTTCACATCATAATAAGGACCATCTATTGACATAAACAAACAGTTCAAATGTCTTCCGAAAATATGGCGCCATAATCTAACTTCTTTCGCTGACGTTTTGGAGACTTGATGTCTTGGGCAAAGTTGGGCAAAAATAAACAACTCTTTTGAAGACGTCAAATTTCCACAGCCTACTGGTTCCGAGTTATATGGAGTTAAAGAAAAAAATGTCTAAAATATGGTTTTTCTTTCTGTTTCGGTTTTTTGCTGACAACCATATAATGTTATATTTTTATCTTATTATTTAATGCATTTAATAAATAACTTTTGTGAAGAAACATACGATTAAGCTTCAAATTTTAAAGATATTGTTGACAAACCGAAAAAAAAACAACATTTTTTGAACTTTAATATCTCCAAATCGCAAAAAATCGCAACTTGACATTTTCAGCAAAAATTTAACAATACTCGATAAACAAAATATCAAAATTTGAGAGCGTTATATAAACAATCAATACGAAACTAACGATTTGAAATTGGCTCACAAATTGACTAGCCTATTGGTCCCAAGCAAACGATTAACGTATCCCATTCTAGTCGAAATTCCAGTACTACACAATGTTTGTTTTGATTTGCTTTGAAAGTTTGACAGATAATATGAGGGTTTAGTGGATTTTCCTATGTTTCGAGGGTTGCATCGATTAGCTTTCGACCGAAGATAGTACCATAGTTGAGCCAAAAAGTTGAGGACGTTATTTCGGGACCTTCTAGTCTTATGGCGGTAAGCTCCAACTCGGATTAACTTTTAATACCGTCCCTGTTTGTATGATCTGAAAAATGTTTGCTCAGAGTTATGTTGATTAACTCTGATGTCGACATCAAACCAGCCGGAAATTCTTGATCGGGATTTGATCCGAGGATAATACCGGTTGGAGCTTACCACCATTAGAGTTACCTCTATGGTTATATCACAGACAAACAGACATAACACTCGCAAGTTGTTCATCGATCAAGCATTTAACGGTCAATTTAAAAGTATCGTAGTTGTTGGTACCGCCACATGTGGCGCGCATAGTCAATTGCCTTGCCTTTGACGTTTACACACTACCGCCATCTGTTCAGTGTACTACCCACCACAGTGTATTCAACAGATAGCAGTATGTTTTAGTGACTATGTTTTACAGTGATAAATATTCAATGTGTTATGTCTGTTTGTCTGTTGTTATATTTTGATGTTTTTAAGATTTCATCAATTTTTTTTATTGAAATAGCGTTTTGAAGACTTGACTTCCTTAGCAAAGTTGTTTATCTTGATAAATTAAATAACTCTTCTCATGAAGTCAAAACTCCACAGCCTACTGTTTTTAAGTTATATGCATTTAAACAATATATTTAAAATTAAAACACTTATTATCATATATTTTCCTGTAATTGCATATAACTCGAAAACAGTAAGCTGTGGAAATTTTACGTCTTCAAAAGAATTGTTTATTTTGTCAAGCCAAACCACTTTGCCCAGGATATCTAGTCTCCAAAACGTCAGCGAAAGAACTTAGATTGTGGCGTCATCTATGCGGAAGAGTTTTGAACTATTTGTTGATGTCAATAGATGGTCCTTATTATGATGAGAAACTTTACCCAAGACACCAAGTCGCGGAAATGCTTCGTTTCGAAGTTATTTATTTTGCTCCGCTAGATCGCATTTCTGGCCCAGTGTGCAGTGGTAGGTGGACGGTACCACCCATCGTATAAATAGAGGTATTACTGTACACGCCTCCCTTAGCTCAATCAGTAAAGGCGCAGCTACAAAGCAAGACCATGCTGGAGGTGGCTGGGTTCGATTCCCGGTCCGGTCTTGAAATTTTGCGGGTTGGAAAATGTCTCGACTTCACTGGGTCCCTGGGCCTGGGCTTAGAGTATGATTGCACTTGCCACAAAATTATACTCACTAAGTAACTCTTAACTGGTTCATAAATCTAGAGCCTATGGGCCTATGTGCCAAATGAATTAATGTATTTTTTGCAGAAAAGGGCTCATTCAGACAAACCGACACCAGCATCTGGTAGAGTAAGTTTTCTCTATCAGTTGGTATAGATGAACTAGCGTTAGTGTGAGTGAATATCCTACGCGTTTCAATTAGCTCCACTAATATCGTATTTTTAACCCGTTTAATTGTATATTACTTACTCGTTCGTGTGTGCATTTGTCGTTATCGTCGTGTATTATCGTAAAGTTGTGAAAATTTGATTCCCACGTCGTTGTTTGCTGTGTTTTTCAGTGTTAAAGTTGTGAAAATTATTCCTCAAGCGCAAATTGTCTCTGTTTACATCTGCATCAATTGCAGCTCAGCAGACAAAGCAATCGCACAAGCTTATTGCTCGCAGTGAAATCAAGCCGTCGTTCATCGCTGCATACAGCTGAAAGTACAGTTGCATCCAGATTTGCCGGCTAAGATCGATCGTTGCTCCCCCCACGTCCAAAGATGTATTCTGAATCTACCTCTCGCATTTCCATCCGTCCGTGAAAGCTGACACCTTTCCAAGCTCGCAAAGGAAGCTTCGGATAGCAATGATGCTGTGACAGTAGTTCCATTAGTGAAAAATGGCACAGACCTAAACTCATTCATCTACATTTTATTCAAAGTTGGCATCAATGTTGAAGATCGGGAAGCCACCCTTAATCCTGACTCGTGGCCGAAGGAATCCTGTGCAGGGAGTTCGTAGAAAATCGTGCAAAAAACGCGCAGGCGCCCGCATCTCCAGAATCATCGGATGGGTCCGATACAGATACTCCTTAAGATCACCTATTGCTGTTTCTCCCGGGATGCATCGTAGAAGGTAATATGGAAGACCCGGTCCTTCCAACACTGTCGTGCCGATCGCTTGTTCCAGCCATCGGAGTCATCTCGGCCCTGTGTATGGAATTGTGAAAGGGGTCTTCCAGACTTCAATACTAGGCAAGTACTCGCAAAATTCACTGAGCCACGTCTCTCCTGATGATATTTCCCTTACCAGTGCTTCTACGCCAGTAAATGTGGTCGCTCTGGTTGCACCTGAACGCATTTCAGAAACTACCACGCTGGTCCCTATGCCACTGAACTCTGCCGTGCCGGTTCGTGTTGTATGTAGTTGCAGTCGAAAGTGAATCTTCCGGACGCACGATAGAAAGCAACACGGAAGCCTCTAATCCACCTAGCACAGTCGGAGCCGTTTCCTCATCAACGCAGTCCAAGTCGTCCTTGCCCTGTGTCTGGAGTGCGAGAAGAGGTCTTCCAGCTTCCTCATCAAGGCAAGTATAAATGTAATAATGTGTGTTCCCTGCCTGATGTTTCGCCCCTGCCACTGTGCACTGTACCTGCCACATTGAACTTCATTCTGAACACGCTGGGGATGCTTCAAACACTGGATTCCAAGGGACGCGTCAGGGAAAGCACTTTGGAAGCCCTCGATCTCTCTGACATGGTCCTGCATACCGCTGCTTGCGCTCTTCACAGTCGTCTCAGACCCGTTGTTGGATATAGAGAGAGGGTCTTCCAACTTGCTCTAGTGCAAGTACCACGTTAATGTTGGATTGCCGTTTCCTGATGTCTGTTCGAATTCCAGTGGTATTGTATGCAGCTCTTCACCTTCCACTACGGATCCATCGGCCAACAACGCATCTGTTGCAGTTAGCGCTGTAAACGTAGCTCATCTCCTGCGCATATACTACCAGAATGTTTGAGAACTACGGACCAAGGTAGCGAGTGCGGTTATGATGTCATTGTATTGACGGAGACATGGCTCGATGACCGTTTATACAGTGCTCAACTGTTCGGAAATGTCTTTTCGGTTTATCGCACAGACCGTAATGCCAGTCTGACAGTGACAGTGCAAAAACCCGTGGTGGAGGTGTCCTAATCGCTGTTTCATCTCGTTGGAACAGTTATATCGATCCGAGTTCTGTTTCCGATGCTCTATAACAGCTGTGGGTTAGAATCACTACGCCAAGTTGAGTCATGAGTGTAGGCGTGATCTATTAACCTCCTGACCGCCACAACGATGTCATTGGTATTCAGGACCATGTGAACTCTATCGGTGCTATTGTTTCCAATTTGGAATTCAATGACTATGCCCTGCAGCTCGGAGATTATAACCAGCCTTTGCTCCGGTATAGTTAGTCGTACGATGGGTCTTTCCAGGTTGAGCCTCAATCGGTTCTATTGGCTGCTAGTTCAACGCTTATCGACGGTTTCGCTTTGCATGGCCTCACGCAGATCAATGGTGTATTGAATAGGAACGCTCGCTTTCTAGACCTTGTTATGTCTAACGAAGCTGCAACTCTGGCATGCCCCGTTTCGGCAGCCATAGAACCAACC